GGCCAGGCGGGGCAGCTGGATGGTCTGCAGGGCCGGAGGGGGCGGGGACTCACGCTCCTTGGGTGCCTGGCAGCCCCCTTCCTGAGGATTGCAGGAGGCTCTGGCCCAAGGCTCCGGGCTGCTAGATCCCCCCTTGCCGTGGGCTGGTGTATCTGTGGAGAGAGAGATGTAGGTAAGATGTGGGGGACCCCTAACGCTGTCATGATTTCCCTTTCCCACCTCCCACCCACCCTGGATCCAAAGGCATCCTTTTCAAACCTAAGTCAGGTCATGCCTTGGAGCAGAAGCCCCATGACCCAGGGGAGAGAGACAATATATTTAACAATAATCTGGTGGCCGGCCGATATCAGCCTTAATGGAACAGGGTCCTGGAGGTCCCCTGCCGAGCCAAGAAGCTCTTATCTCATTCAGTGTAAAAGCCAAGATGCTAGAAGGCTCTGAACCATCCAGACCCGCCCCCCAGCCCCCCCTCAGGCAGCACTGCTGGATCCTGGGGAGGCCCCAGGGGAGGAGGGACTGGAAAAGAGGTTGGGTGGCTGGAGTAGGAGAGGGGGGAACTTCTGGAGGCGGGGAGTAGGGAGCTCTCTCCAGTCAGGATGGCAGGATTTCAGTCTCAACTCTGGTCTGTGCCAGTTTAACGCCAAGCCTGCGGGGCTTCCTCCACCTCCTCTCACCTGGGATCTCATTCGTGCTCACGGAATGAAAAGTCTGCGTGCAGAGGCGCCCAGGTGTCCGGGCCCAGCCTGAAGCTCTCCCTCTGGCTGTGAACTCGGCATATCCCCTCCAATAATCCCGTCTTATAATGCCTCCAACCCCCTTGCCTGGAGCTGAGCTCCTGACCCTCCCCCAACCTGCTCCTCCCTCAGCCACCCCATCTCAGATGATGGCAGCTCCATCCTTCTAGCTGCTCGGGGACAAAAACGCACTCTTCTCTCCCAAGATACCACTCGTGTACAAATACCGTTGGCTCTGCCTTCAAACTAACCCAACATCTGTCCTCCTCCACGGCCCCCACCCTGGTCCAACCACCACCATCTCCCAACCTGGACTATTCACTGGGCTCCCAGCC